AGTACAAAGACTGTCTTAATATTTAGTTTAACTACAAATGAACGGAAACATGTTCGACGTTGCAAATACCCTCAAGTGATTTTGTAATAAAGCTCATGTCATTTCTGAATGAATAGTGGGTTTTGTTGTCATAAGCTATGCCCTAGTGGAGAATGCCGGCAGTAGGGTGGAGATTATGAAAAGAAGGCAAACCGAAAGACCAACGGCAATGTTGAGGTGAAAAATTTTGTTCACTCAAGATTTTAGATTCATGCCTTCACTGAAAGTAAATATGGGATTTCTAGACTTCCATAAAAAGTTCTTGTGAGTAAGCAAAAGAATAAAGATAAGTGGATTAAAACACAGCCCAACCATTATTATACTGCTCCTCGGATCATATTATAGGGTCTAATAACAAAAACAACCCACCAGGTTCAACTTATAATTGAAAAATGTCCAGTACAGTATAAATATATATCTCGTTGATATTTGTATCTGCTTAGAAAACCAGAAATTTCATATCAAGTGGATATCTAAATATTACAAGACAATCCAACAAAACCAGGATAAACCTCAATTTTTGTAATTATTAAACTATACCAATGTTATTTTGTCATGAAATTATTTTAATGCTTATGACTCTATATAAGGACATGTTATACAAGCCAAGACAACAGTAGCACTTGGCGAGTATCTAGTGAATACCCATTACAGTATTATTCGTCCCTAACCTGATAAATGTTTGTTGATAAACACATGCAATGCATGGCTAGCAGAAAGCACTGCAAGCACGAGCAGCTTGCCACCACTTACAAATCCTTTGTTTGAGTCAGTTCTCACACTGGACAATAGAGACAAAATAAAAAGGGTCAGATACCAGACACCAAAACGTGGTCTAATTTTTGTTCGAGTGAATGTCTATGTTGGAATGTGAGACATTATGGTCACTAAAAAACGGTTACAAGTGCACTTACTCTGTCGTGTACCATAAATAGACTGTGTCATCTCTAGTGTTATTAATCTGCTCCAATAACCCAACCATCGGGAATGAATTCTCTTCGTGTGAAGCAGCCTCCTCGTTGTAAGACTGCAAATGAATGTTGATTGTAATTAGCAAGAAAAGCATCACAACTGGACTTTGATTTGAAAACATGAGCCTGCATGGAAAGAATTAAGGTGTTGTTAAATATTAAGTTTCATTTTGCACAAAAGGATATAAAAAGAATAAGAGATCGAACAAGAAGAAACCGAAATAATTTATCCCTAGTGGTGTCTGGATTATTCAATATTTTTATTCATATTAAAAAATAACTGAAAGGAATAACAACCTAAGATTAACTATACGTACAAATATATAATTTGTTTGATACAAATTTGTATTTGAGGGTAGGCAACATGAGCAGAATGTGGTAATGTTGATGTCATGCTTACTCTCGTTTTCCAACTTTTCTATTATATCTTCTATTTCATACTATTGAATAAATGAAGAAAACAAAAATTAACCATCAGCTGTAGAATATGAGGTGATCTCATGGTATTTTTTTTTTCAAACCTTGTAACCGTTAACAAAAGCCGAACTGGAACCAGTTCCCAGTTGTTGAACGTTTTACATAAAAAGTATAAATATTAGTAGGATTGAATGTTCCTAATCATGATTTTTCACATAGAAACTCTACAGTTTATTCTCGGACCTTAAAACTGTGTAATCCCGCCCCTTTGGGCAGCCTAAAAAATTCTAGACATGAAAAAACAAGATGATATTGTTATGCCCCTTAATGTCTGGCGCCTTGTGGCCTCGTTCATCCGCTTTCTGGAGGTTAAAAACCCAAGGGGGCTGGGGGTATAGCAGCCTTACCGAGTCTCTGGGGGTATAGCAGCCTTTCCGAGCGAGCCTCTAACGAAGAGCTTTGTACAATCTTATATTAAAGGTAATAAACATGAAATGGGCCTTATTTGACATAAATTCTGGCTCAAAGAATATATTTTGAATGTTTATAGATGCCATTTTGCTTTTCTGATTTTGCATAATCATGTAAGATAAAGGGAGGACTGGTTTTGCATAATATTGTAAGATAAAGGAGGAGTGATTTGGATTTCTGAATCTGCTAGCATGCGATTTTTACAATAAAATAAGCACTTCTATAACTGATATTCACCTTACACTTGTTTTGACCAATTAAACATTTAGCTTCTGTATGCAAACTACAATACTTTCCACCACTAAAAATAATTTCTAAGAGCATAACTCATTGGAAAAGAGCCCCTTAAAACCAAGTCATGAAGATTGCCTAAAAGATCATGAAGGTACGTGTTGGTTTTTTCATGAAAACGTCATAAAATGCATGCATGACTTTCAACGGCCTTTGTACCTAAAATATCAAACAAGAGCAAACACACACCTCTGTGTATCAGTTGAACTCATAACCATATTTGTCATCCTAAATGATAATTGCAGCTCATCATGGAACTGATATGGAAGTTAATACTGTCATTGAGTGAAATAGACTTTACAGACAACTCTCTTATTCCAATTTGAAAAATTTGTGTGTTTACCATATTCATCAAAAGGTGCATCACAGTCATAGCTAGCGCGATAAACGGACCACCAGCCGTCCTACCAAAGTTTGTTCCTCCATGGTACTGAAATATAAAAATAAATAAAATCATGCTTAGCTAATTCATAACAATATATAGTCGATCAGAATACCTAAAATGATCATCATACCATATAGTAGTTAATGTAAGAACCTCCTTTTTGAATAAATTTGGCAAGAGAAAATGCCAAACTTCAGCCGGACGGTAAGGAACTGGACCACCAAAATCAGTATACTTTAAAAAAAAAAATATTAATGTAAACAAAAACTTGTTTTCCTAAGAGTGTATATTAACACCATCAAAAGTTGAATACATACCAGCCGGTCCACGCTTTTTTTTTTCCAAGATATCATAACTCATATTAATAGGCCAATCGGCCAACATAGAACAAAGTTCAGTACAAAGCCTTGATAATGAGAGACTACACACACAACTATGTAG